CTTAATGAAGTTACATGGGCCTTACAACTAAATCTTCATTTTGCCCAAGCTTGCTCAAAATGGATTTCTATTATTAGCCCCCAAATATCTGAAATAAAAAGTAATGCTACCCTGTAAAGCAAAAGTTGTTATTACCCTCTGAAAAAAAAAAAAAGAGGATTAAACTGGCTGACAGTACAATATACTAGGACCCATCAGTTACCTGTTCCATAGACTTTCTCATTAGCTTATACCGCCAAAGTCTATGTTCTACCACATACTAAGGGGCTTTCCGCAAATTAATTGAAACATCACAATAAAGTGCTCCCATTCATACAAGTGTTAAGAAATGGGAGGAGAAGAGTGAAAAAAAAATCATGGCTCAAGTACAAGGGTTCTCCACAGTTTGGGTTAGTTTTGTTACAGATTTCTTCGAGAATTTTACGAATAACTATTAAGATTTGAGTGATTATCATATATCAGACATTTCCTAAATGCTTTACATATATCATCTGTGTAATAACACTGATGCTTAATCATGTTAAATAACCGGTCCAAAGCCACTCACTGATTAAACCAGGGCAGCTAAGTTTTAAAGAGGCACTCTGACTCACTGCTTTACAGAGCCCTTACATACATATACATATACATACTCCTTTCCTCGAAATATGACCCTATGTTAAGTGTACCTCATTCTTAGGGAGAGTGAAATAAGACGTGCTGTGTTGAGAGACTATAAAAATAAGGAAACCGGACACAGTACAAAATGAATAAAAATACAGGCATGTGGACTATACTTGCATATTGTGCTTTTAAAAAGTAACTTGTCTATTATAACAAAAAGAGGGAAAATGATGTCTGTATAAGCTGAAGGGAGACTAGTTGGAGGTGAAAAGAGCACCGACTTTTTCAAAGACAAACACAGTATTTGAAATTAAATTTCACCTTTATCTTCAAGTAACAGGGTACAGTTACCAAGCACCACCAGCAGTATTATAAGGATGGAGTAGTATCTGTCTCCTAGCTGCAGAGGAAGTGGCTCCCTCTCCCTCACATCAAGGGATTAGTCATTTACTGCACATGGTAGCAGATGGTGGCCGGCCGTTCAAGGGCCATTTGGTGGATAGACAGTTCTCTCTTTATACCTGTTTTGACTTACCAGGTAATGAAGTTGGGAAGAAGGAAAGAGACTGATTTTCAGGCAAGAAGGCCTAAGAGGCAAGAGTGACAGCTCCTAAGGTAACCAACCTCTTAGGCTGGGCTTTGACCATAAAACAAACCAGGAAAAGATGAAGACAGTGAACTATTCTTTGTAGCACTCATGCTGGAGCTTTTTTCTTACCTGTATAATTCATGTGTTGTGAATACTTTAAAAAAAATCTCTCTCACACTTTAATCTTTATTTTCTAGCCCTGGAGATTCACCAAGTAAAATGTGCTTAGCACTTTAAAGTATTAATTAACATTGTTATAATGTGATTTTTCAAAAATACAAATAAAGATACAGCTGATCCTGATCTCCTTTCTCTGAAACAGACTGCTACTGTTCAAAGTGAGATGGTGGGTTTTAAGTGTACATTTGAAAAACAGAGTGCCATTCCTACAAACCAAAGTTTACTATGGGAATGATTCTGACACATCTTCTAAGATTATCAATAAATTCTAACCTGTACAACTAATTCTCTTAAAACATTTAAATGATAAACTTAACTAAAATGTCTTTTATGTTGGTAAGATTCACACATACAAATGTTAACAATACATATCAAAGCTAGTTTTCACTTAAATTTTAGAATTCACATTAAACGAACTTAAAGCTTCAGGCTATGCAGTCATTGATAACTCCTGAATGAATCAACTGTCAAAATTTTGCCACGTTACATCAAAGGTCCTTTTCAAGCAACCAAAGTACCAGGCATAAACTGCCCTACCAATTCCTGACATAACTATAATATTTTACTTCTATAAAAGCAAATCAGTCATCAATGGCAAAATCTTGCTCATTCTATTTTAAATAAAAACAAAACTAGTTTGGTTTGGACCTAAAGAGTTTACAACTACAGGAAATCCAATATATTTGCCCTCTAGCTTAGCTGTAAGCTATAGATGAAAGCACTGGTGATTATATGCCACTTACACCTAAGCCTTAATTACTCTAGGAAAGGTTAGAAGTAGTCTCAGAGAAGGTTTAAGACTGTCTGGTTGAAAAGAATGATAAAGATTGGTTCCCTTGTCTTTCTCTCCCTTTGTATATATTCTACAAATAATTCTATTTTAATTACTTTTTATTAAAAAGGGAGCATTTGAAAGCAAATTTTGGGGTTGTAACAGACTGAGGAAGGAGGTTGAATAAAGGGAAAAAATAGGAAAAGACCACAACATGATAAAAGTTTTAGCAAAGTCCCTTAGTAATTTTGTACTAGTTAAATATAGCAGCCCATTTTCTGAAATAAAATAATAATCATTCCACCTCATAACCTATTTTGACCATACTTGATTACCTCTTCTTGAGTAATTACTCAAATTACTTGAGCAATACAGAAAATGGAAAATGTAAGATTTTTTTCCTTTACCTTTTATCCCATGGATGGGTTATTTAGAAACAAGAAAATATAGCCAAAGTGGTAAATTTCTTTGAAACACAGGCAAATATTTGGAAATAATCACCTTTCCACTTCATGAATATATGAAGCAACCATGACTGACATTTAAATCAACTGTTTCCTTTGATGTTTGCCTAGGTTCTGAATCATCCAAGCAAATTATACCAGTCTTTTGAATGCTTTCTAGCCCCTCCTAAAGAATAGTTCTGAGTCCAGATTCCTCATGTGCTTTTTAACTCATCCTTAAAAAGCTTTTTAACAGCTCTACACCATTACCACTAAGATCAATTCTGTTGTCTGGCTTAAAATAACAAAATATTGAATTGCTTAGGTTTATGGATTAAGCCAGTTTTAATTACTACATGATACAAAATGGAACTGACAAAATTTGACTTAGTCGGAATATTTTTTTCAGCTCTTTAAAGTTCCGAACTAAAATTGTGAAGCACAGATTAATCTTTATTACCATAAAGGTATAAGAATTCATTTTTTTCATGACATTATATACTCCAAATGCTTAAAGACTGGCATATGTCTTATTTACTTATTTTTTTTGTTCTGAAGTACAGCAGACTGTACACATAACACCTTTTAATGATAACATACCAAACTGGTTTATCCATTCATTCAAAAATTTTCAGTGACCACTCTTGCTAGGTGCTATGAAATATACTGATAAACAGACTATCCCTCCTCTCATGGAACTAAGGAGAATATAATAGACAAAAACTTAACAAACATACAGTTACAAACTGTGTTACATAGAAAGAAAGCAATGAATGGGGTACAGCAGCTAAAAAAAGCTGACTGGGGACCAGGAAAAGCCATTTTGAAGAGGGAACATTAAGCCCGGACTTGACAGAAAAAGGAGTCAGCCTCAGAATGCACACACCAGAGAGTGGGAATGAGGTAAAAAGCCTTGAAATAGAGAAAAGCCAGCACATCTAAGAACAAAAGCAGCTAACACAGCTATAGACACCATGACGGGGCAGTGTAAGACATGAACAAAGCACCATATGTAGGTGGCCTTGCTGGCCAGGGCAAGAAGTCTGGATTTTCTTCTGGTGTAACAGGAAGCCAACGAAGAGTGTTAAATAGGAGGCTGACATAAACTGATTCATATTTTGAAAAGTTCATCATGGTTACTGTGGTAATACATTGGAGAAAAATGGTGAAAGAGGCCATGAAGAAACCAGTTAGGAAGCTACTGTAATATTCTAAGCTAAAAATGATGGTGACCTGGCTTGAGGGTAGTAGCAGTAGAGATGGAACAAGAGTCAGATATTTCTGGATAGAAATGATAGGCTTATTTAGGAACAGACACTGAGGATGAAGGAAGATGACTCCCTGGCTTCTGACTTTCTCAACAAGGTATAGAGTGTTGCCATTTTTTACTGAGACGGAAAAAACAGGGAAGAACAGGCAAATGAAGAGAGTATCAATCAACAGTTCTGCTTTAGACCTTTAAAATTTAAAGATGTCTACTGAGATAGCCCAGCAGAAATGTCAAGCAGGTGGGTAGTGGAGACAGCAAACAGGATAATGCTAGAAAAATAACTAAGAAATATTAAGCATACAGACACAAGATTAGATCAATCACCTAGTAATGAGCAATTTTTAAACTTGGTGTGCATACTTAATGATGATGTAGATTTGAGTCCACCACCCCACCCCAATTTTGACTTAGCATGCTTGGGGGAAAGGCACAGGAATGCCTATTTCTCAGGAAGTCCATGGGTGATGCTGATGGGGCTGACTCTCACACTACACTCTGAGAAGGACTGACGAATGAAAACAAAGCCCAGACCTGAGAACTGGGAAATTCCAACATTAAACCTTGAGGAAAGGAAGACTGGTCTGCAAAAGCCGCTCAACAGGAACAAGAAGATAGGGAAGAGACAGTGCAGGAAGGGAATGGTAAACTGTGCTGAGTATCTCTTGAGAGCAGAGAAAAAAGTGACCAATGGATGTAACAATGAAATCACTGGTTATCTTTACAGGAAAGGCAGACACAATTTAGGGCACATTATAGAGTAGGCAAGACATGAGGAACAGGATGACATGCTTCTGAAGGGGAGTAAATAAAAGGTACAGTAGCTGGGGGAGGACAGAAGATATGTACGATGAAATTCAGTACCCATTTTTCTGATATTTTTGATCCAGTATCTGTGGTGTCTTATCGAAGTAACTATTGAATTCTAATTCATATAATAAAGTTCTTTTTAAAAAATACCTTTCATTTCAAAGATTAAATATCCCACCTATGGCCACATAGAATTTCTCAGTATTGAATATATAAATATATATATATAAAATATCACTCTCCCCAAAATAACATAGAGAACTAAAATTTAAAGTGTTTCCTCTCTCCATAAAAAAGTTATAACCGCTTCATCCTCTAGCTCTTATTGTTATTTACCCTTGCAAGATCCTCTATTTCAGAACTGAAGTTTGTTTCTCCTTCCATCATTTCTTCCTCTTCTAATGTGCGTTCATCATCAAAATCATGAACCAGCATGTCAGCTGATGGATCAAATTCATGGTCATCTGATGTTGCTGAACCTCCTGGTAAAGAATATTTTGAACAGTTTGGTAAACCAAATTATGTGTACCTTATTAATATTAATGTATATGTTATTTGAAACTGGATATAAGTCAAGTAAAAGTATGAGGGAAAAGCTATGCACAGCAAATTTTATTTCCTGTTTTCTAAAATTCCTGCCCTTACTTATCACCCCCAACAAAACATCTTTAAGGATTTTTTTTACCCTGTTTTACTTCTATATATTTACAGTTGCAACTATAAAATGAGGGCAGAGTGTCTGAAGAGTACTGTAATCTTCCAAAGCTTCAGTTGTAAATAATGTGGTCATATCAAATAAAAATAATCTTCTGTGTGAAAAAAAATCACAATTCTTAATTACTTGACTAATATTTAATAGACCCAATAAGTATGAATATATAGTATGAAATATACCATCATCTGAATATATAGTCTAGGGAAAACTGAAAAATAAAAAACTGAACTCAAATATTATTCTACTAGCACGTCCACAAAAGTATATTTTAATATGAAGATAGCTGTCCTTAACTTAGTTGAAGTAACCCAAAGAGTATAAACAGCAAAGTTTATTAAAATTGCATACAAAAGTCTTATGAAAGGTATTAAAAATAATCCAGTAGGTAACTGTTGTATAACTAATCTATTTTTAGCCTTGTGGCTGGGGAATATTGCTGAACTCAATAGGGTCAAAACTTGTAACAGTAGATTGCAAATGCTGGGCATATAATGAGTATATTCTATAAACTATCCCCACTATGCCAAAAGTGGACAAAAGATTGTTTGCAAGAGACTGTTAACTAATAAATGAGTTATTTAAACAAACAAAAAAATCAATTAGCAATTTAATTTTACCAGTTTAAAGTGTTAAATGTTATATTAATAGATATACCTACTCTTCTACTTCATTCTTCGAAGAAAACCAATAAGTAAAGCAAAGAAATACAGATGCTGATTTCTTGGAAAATCAGACAATTAAGAATAAGGGGGCACCTGAGACTCCAGGGTGGTTGTTACCTCCCGATATTTTTAGCATTAAGAACCATTTTTTGAGTGTTTACTAGGTGCCAAATACTATGCTCAAACACTTCACATATATTATCTCACTTAATCTTCCAACAATCCTAAGAAGTAAAAATAAAAACTTGAAGTTCAAAGAGTTTAAGTAGCATATTTAAACTCGCAGAGCCAGTAGGTGCCGAGAATGGAATTTTAATTCTGGATCTGCTAATTCCAATGCCTGTGCTTTTTCTGCTCTCTAAGGATCCTGCTTAGTCAAGAGTTTCAGAAGCAGTAGATATTCTGCCTCAAAGAATACTTGAAGAGAACCTATGGTTTACTAAGATGAGTAAAAAGCAAGCTAGGTCAGAGGGCAAAGCACTTAGAAGTCACTGTGCTCTTGGAGGAACATAACAAAATATTGCTATTAAATATAAAATAACGAAATATATAACTGCTAAATCAGCTAGTCTATCTTGTACAGTACACATTAGTTACCAAAGTCTAAGAGCAAATTATAAAGTTAAAAAAACATCTAGAAAAGTATATTATCTTAACTTCTTCTAGAAAAGAATAATCACGTGGTACAATTTTAGAAAGGAATCTTAGAACTGGCTGAAGGACTAGACACAGGGTTCCCTAAGAGCAGTTTGAGAATTACTAATTTAGTTATAGCTTTTTTGTCCCATTCATTATCCCTTGTTTCTCAGTTTTCAATAGAAAACAGTCCCAAAACTTTTCACTTCACACAGCAATCTTCTAGGATGCTTAGTCAGTAATTATGTATTCCTACAGATGTTGCTATACTTTTCTCCCTTGCTGGCAAAAGGATCCTAAAAACCCTCATGTTATCATTTTGCATATTATTATCCTAATCATAATATAATTCCTACTGGATGCAAATATTGTTAAAAATAATTATGCTTAATTCCTAACTACTTACAATCTTGTACCAACTTAAAAATCAAGCTCACATGAGAAAACAGTACCAAATCACAAGTATTATATATATATACATACACACACACTCTTGAAGTCCCCCATTTTTGTTCATTATTTGCAAAGCCAATTATATTTAAAGCTTTGTTACTTTAACCCTACCATTATATGAAATTACAAAGTGTGGGTGAAGTGAACCTTTTCTCTCAACACTCTTAAATTCTTTTCCCCACACATACACTGCACTGTTCTCTATAAACTTTCAATTTCAGTTTTTTTTCTTGCCTTAATCTTGACTTCTTTGTTTCAGTTGACTTCTTTTTACCTTGTTCTTCAAGACCAACTAACCATCCTTCCTGTTAATTACTAAGGCCCATCATTAGGTTATCTCCAAGGGAAAAGAATCCCAAAAGTAAATTATTAGGGCTAAGGAGTCTGGTGCTTTATGTAAATATTTTGCTTCAGAATTAATGCAAATATCACTGCTTTATCATAGAATTCCATCCTACTGCAAAATTACTAAAAAAGTACCTTACCTCTTTGCAATGACTCAGAAGATAAATTCAGTTTAATATATCGTGTGGACTTGTTTAATCATTCTATTACCTTCCTACCCTAAAACCCCACCTCTAACGGCTACTAGATGTAATTAGTTTATACTGGTGGAATCAACAAACTATTGAGCCTGGGTCACATGACTATTATTATTAGCATCAATTCCCTCATAGCTCAGTTGATAAAGAATCTGCCTGCAATGCAGGAGACCCCGGTTCGATTCCTGGGTTGGGAAGATGACCTGGAGAAGGGAAAGGCTACCCACACCAATATTTTGGCCTGGAGAATTCCATGGACTGCATAGTCCATGGGGTCAGAAAGAGTTGGACACGACTGAGTGATTTTCACTTCAACTCCAAAGTGAAAGATGTTACAAACGACACAGCATTTCACCAATGGACCAAATTTTTTTACATTAAGTTTCTATTTCAAATTTCTCCATCAATCTTTTAAATTGCCTACATATTAGCACTACTTGTAAGAACAATAAACGTTTCTGTGGACAGAAGCCTGATGCGACAAATGCTGTCTACCTCAAAAGATCTTTCTTACTCTGAAAACAAAAAAATATTCATTCTATTTGTATTAATACAAGCGCTCAGCAAGTAATAAAAGCTATCAAAGACATTTGTTTTCTTCCAGCTCCACTATTCTTCCAGCTCACCCTAAGCTGTTTTAAATGCAATGGAAACTGAGAAAGACACTTATTCCTATCACTTTTAGAGTAATTATTTTTACGTACCTATGTATCACCTAACGAAAGTTTTGAAAGTTCACAGAAAAATGATCTATTTACAAAGTCACAACACTACAAAAACTAGAACTTATCTTTTCAATGAAAATGGTTTCTGTATCTGAAAGAAAAAAAAATATAAAGGCACAATACCATATCCTAAAAAGGATATGGTAATTTGATTTATCTGAGGTCATATTATTTCCAACTTCTTCCAACCTACTTCCATCTAGAACATATTTATAAACAAGAAAAAAAAAATCCTTGAGTTTCAGAAATGTCACAAAGCCTAATAATGTAGTTCACTTCCAAGAATATCAGGAAGACACTTTCAGCTAAAATAATATGACCAAATCAACTGTCAATTTGTGGTACAGGGAGCTGGTGACGACAGGGAAGCCTGGCGTGCTGCAGTCCACAGAGCCGCAAAGAGTCAGATGCGACCGAGTGACTGACTGAACTGAACCATTTAGAAGGGATTCAGAGTTATTCTAACTCAACTCCTACCTGACACAGAGCACAATGATTTGTGTTCAAGAAAAGGACCCTGAACTAAAAAAGCCTTATTTTCAGTATTTTCCAAAACTTCCTAAAATGTAAAACACAAAAAAGTGCTTCAATCATCTGATAAGGTCCGTAATATAGCATTACTAAATATGCAATGTGAGATGTTTTCAAATAAAATACCATGACTCAGGAGAGTTCTCTTTCTCACTCTTCCTAAGCTACTTTAGGCTCTTCCTTCACCTGCCCACCCCACTACAGAGGGCAGTCTCCGCTCTCAGTAAAATCCCTGGACATTGAGGCAGGAAGACCAACACATACCAAATTCTTTCCTGACTGCTATTTAGCTTCTACCAATTGCTGACACACAGGAATGCTGGACCCAGTGGTATCAGAACCTTTGACTGAGCATAAAAAACTTAAATCCAGATTTTAAATAAAATATTCTAATTTTTTAAGCTCACTATACTAGCTGAACAAAAAACATTAATATTAATGCCCAGATTTGGCCCAAACATCATACATTTGCAACCTCAAAGTTAAAGAAAAAAATGATATCTATATTGTATTTGGAGGAGACTACAGGTCAGATACATGGTCAGAGGAAAAAACCTGATTCTAATAAAATTTTAAAATAACTTCCTTAATTTACAATACTCATTTGTTGAACCTTTTATTTTACCTTTCCCTCTCTCATTAAACGCATTAACAATATTTTTCTCAAATAAAATACTTTGAATTTTCTATATAAGCAAATATGTCTAAGCAGTTAAAGACTCCTTTTAAAAATTACACTTCAAATCAAACAGCAAATAAAAACTACACAAAATACATGTGGCAATTCATTAAAAAAGAAGAGAGAGAGAGAAGAAACCCACAAAAAGTCATGAGGTTGAACTCACAGCAGCCTCACCTGTACTTTCATGGGCAGTCAAATATTTCATCCATTTCTTTTTCCCCAGAGAAAAGAAGCATTCAGAAGAAAAGTCAGTCAGATGATAGTCTAACTCCTCTAACCTTTATGTAACTAATAAGTCAAATGCTAGCTAAATAAAGATTATAAAAAATATACAAAATACTTACCTGGACTTGAAGACTCAACAGATGGCTGGGGGGGAGGGGGGAGAAAAGAAGAAAAATTAGCATCTCTGTGTAGTAAATCTTCATGAACATTACAGAATTATTCAACAACTGATATGACACCAAAAACTACAGTTACATTTTAACGTCTGAACTAAGACAAACTAAAACTTCCTGCATAATCCTTCCTCTGACATTATGTTTATTTAAACATAGAGAAAAATCTAAAACATTCCTGAATCTAGAAATAAAAACAGTAATGTGTAACTGATTTCAAAGGCAAATATGTATCTTATAATATATGTCATTCAAGAGAGAGGATTTTGGGCTTCCCAGGTGGCACTAGTGGTAAAGAACCTGCCTGCTAATGCAGGAGACATTAAGAGACATGGGTTCAATTCCTGGGTTGGGTAGATTCTCTGGAGGAGGGCATGGCAACCCACTCCAGTATTCTTGCCTGGAGAATCCCATGGACAGAGGAGCCTGGTGGGCTACAGTCCACAGGGTCGCAAAGGGTCAGACACGACTGAAGTGAGTTAGCATGCACACAAACATATGATTTCAGATCTCTGAATTCTCTAAAATATTCGCTCCCATCAATACAGGGAAAACTAAACCCAAGGTCTGCTATCAAGCTGCTCTCTGGCTTAAAATGAGTGTGAGAAGGGAGGCAGAAATAATTTAAGATGTTATTTAGAATAAAAACTATATTGTAAGAAAGCAGAAGGAAAAATTTTAATGTTACTTAAGTACAAACATTCCTTTACCTTTACTAATACACAACATATTTTTTAAGTTAGCAATCCTGCAAGGTCAATAAAGGAAGGTTATCTAATAGGAGATCACAAAGACTTTCCTATTATAGTACTCCTACTGTATCATTCTACCTCTTATAAATTTAACCGCAAACATCTGGAAAATTTAAAGATAAAACTATTAGCAAATTATTTTAGTGTTATCACCACTGGACAGTTTGTGGCTGTGCTTTATTCAGTTAATTCAACAGTTATAAACAAGTCATCTAGAAACAACTCCTATAAGATAAATTCAAGAACACAAATTCAAAAGATGCCTCAAATGACAAAACCTTTATAACTAAAACCTTGCCTATTCATTTCAAGATGTCTATTCAGGCTCATCAGAAGTCAGAGATGCTGGAAGTTCAAAAGTACTAGCAAAAAGACACGGATATTCTAGTATTTTCCTTCTTTCTACTAAAATATGGAGCAGAAAGGGGGGAACAAAATTAAAGAGCCAAAAAGTGCCCAATTTTTCAAAAGCTAGGCCTCTTAAGATAAATTCTTATGAGATATTAAAAATTCCATTTTGAAAACAGTCTGCAAAAGTGTGACATTCTAGTCTACATGGTGACTTACATTGTTTTAAGGCATACTTTCCCAAGGTTCCTACTTGTTCCTTTTAATTCTTACAAGAGAATGGTTCTTATCTATAGCATTGACTCATTTTAACAAAAGACCATTATTCAGTATTATATATTTTCAAGTGTCATACCACCATCTCAAACTGCCACAGTCAAAACAGTGCTACTTTTAAATTTGGTTCCTTTAATGGGAAGCTGTGGAGTAGGGTAAAAAGAGAATAATGTAACCATAGAAAGAGTTTTTTTAGCTCACTTAACATCTTTTGATGTTGAAGAAGAGAATGTTAGAGAACGAGGTGGCTGGATGGTATCACCAATACAATGGACATGAACTTGGCCAAACTCTGGGAGATGGTGAGGGACAGGGAGGACGGGTGTGCTTCGGTTCATGGGGTCGCAAACAGTCGGACATGACTGGGAAACTGAACATCTTTTGAACAGTTCTAGCTCACTTCTAGCTCAAAATGGATTAAACCTCCACACATATTACACAGCACATCAACATTTAAAAATATTAATCCACTTTCACTTCAAACTTTATTTCCCAAGTTTAAGCACAACCTCTATCCAAGGCTACAGCAAAGTTAATGATTATCTTCATCTGGTCCCAGATTCACTATACACAGAGTGGCCTTACAATGGCCGTTTTTCCTTTCTTGGAAACTTCTGAAATAGGTTTGAAAGGCTTAAACAAGAGAAACCAGCACGTCTTTCAAACCAGCTTAAAAGAAATAGCTCTTTGAGCATTTGGTCCTTTTTGAACACTCCAATAATTATTCCATTTAACAGTCTTCTGATAAAAAATAAGTTATTATACTTAAGCATAAAAGGTACACTTTTGCTGATGTTATTAGATATTGTCAATAATAGACTGAATTGCAACTGGGGTCTGCATAGTTTGTAAAACTCCTCGAACTGTGCTAAATGCAAATAAATACCATACTGAGTTTTGTTTTTATTGGTAAACAGTTACCACTGCAATGCTCTGAAAATGGTCTAAAATATGTTCCATTCATTAAGATGCCAAATGTTAAACGACTGATAGCATTTATACGTATAGCTGGCATAAACCAGAACACCCAGTGCTCAAAGATAGCACTAATCACAGTATGTAAGGCACACGAGGAGGTTTTAAGAAACATGATGTGATGGATGGTATACCTGGATGAGGACTGGGGGAGGGGAAGCAGGAATGGTTTGCCTACAGACATGTATTTTAGTATTCTATGTTCAAAATAAAATTGTACTATATTGGGTCATAAGGACAGGAATGAGACTGGTGAGAGACAGAGAAGGAGAGAAAGAGGGAATGAGGGGAGGGAGGGAGGGAGAGAGAGAGAGTGTGTGTGTATGTGCGCACACATGCATGCACACACCCTCAGTCACTAAGTCGTGTCTGAGTCTTTTGCAACCCCATGGACTATAGCCGCCAGGTTTCTCGATCCATGGGATTTTCCAGCCAAGAATATGGCAGTGGGTTGCCATTTCCTCCTCCAGAGGATTTTCCCAACCCAGGGAACGAACTTGCATGTCCTTTCCTTGGCAGGCAGGTTCTTTACCACTGAGCCACCAGGGAAGTCCATTATATCCAATTAAATCAAAGATCAGCTTCTGGAAAACAGGCATTTGAAAATAGTTATACTGTAAGCATTACTTTGGCCCACCAACAAACAAACTGATCATCTTTCATTATGAGTTTAGTATATAAATACATATAAATGTGAGTTTAGTATAATACTGGAAATTTTAGTATGAGGGCAATTTTAATTTAGACATTTAAAAGAATAGCAGAACCAGCTTAAGTTCATATAGTACTACATATTTCCAAATGCATAAATTTACTTGATCATGAACCTGGCAATAAAACCTACCCCATCTACCTCATTTTATAGATTAGCAAACCCAGAGAGATAAAACTGACTTAATAAAGGTTCCACAATAGGTGGTGAAGGTAAAGTCTAGGACCTAATTCCTTCTATATTTCCAAAAGAAACAACTATTAAATATCTAAAAAAACACAAAAACTTCTCTTTCTCTCTCTCCTCCTTTCCCTTTATTTTTTTTAAAAAATGGTTTTCATCTAGTCAAAGCATGTTTAAAATGTGACCGCAAGTTGTCATTTGTCATGTCAGACTATTATCTATGTCTCATTAGGAACTGGTATCTTAACAATACCCTCCAGAAAACCTGCAACATCAACCATTAACGATTACAGTAAATTAGAAAGGACGGGAAAGACTACAACTAAAGCTAAACAGGTACTCATTTTTAACAATACTTATTTTCAGAAAAACCTCAAATTATAAAATGCAATCAGTAAAGGTTTTTTACATTGGGGATCAAAATATACTTAAAACACACTCATATATTACTGATAGAAATTATGAGTTAAAGCATTCTGCAGATCATCTCGCCAACATGAACTTACCCTACTGATATAACTAAAAAAGCACATAAAGATAGGTGTATCCCAGTTATTACTACAGAGTCGTCTATAGCAAAAAGTTGGGAAAAAATTTAAGTCCATTATTTAATTAGTTAGAAATGAAACATAGTTTTTCCAAGCAAAGGAAATTACTAATTCACTAAAAAGAATGAGACAGTTTTGCTTGTGCTGACTGAGGGAAAAAATGCTAAACACATGTGCATGTGTATGTGTCTATAAACAGATAGCTATATTAGGAGTAAATGAAAAGTGTAGAGGAAGGGGGAAAATGGGCTGGCACACACATAAAAAATTTTTCCCTAAAGGATACACAAAAATCTGTTAACAAGTTACCTCTAGAGCATGGTTTGGGGAAAGGAGGTTTTTCACTTTATGCCTTTCGGTACTATTGAAATTTTTTAACCACTTGTAAGCATTATTCTTTGTTTTTTAAACAGAAAGTCAGTGGAGATAATACAGTGGAATTATGAGCCATTTTCATTTTCTCCTCTTACTTTTAGATTTTCAAGAAAACTTAGTATTTGCCATTATTTTTTTAAAAATAAGTTTATATAATTTTGAAAAATAACCTATTTTTCTTTTAGGTACATACATAATTGTTTTATCTGAGATGGAAAACAGCAGAGAGGGTATGAATCAGCTAAATCAAAGAATCAGAATGAACTGTGTTAACTTTTATAGCAACTTTTATATCTACACTCATATATTTGATTTAGTTGATCAAGCTACTAATAGTTGTAACAAATATTCAGTGCCTCAAATTTGTTCAAATGTTTCTCTTCTGTAATTTTTAGACCATGATAAGAAATATCCCATATACCAAAAAAACTGTAAATTGAGAGACAAACGATAAACTAGAATATCACTATTACTAAAACATAAATAAATAAGGTAGTAAAAACACGAAGTAATTAGATTCTTTTATCCTGGAAAATCAAAAACACATTTTCAGTGAGTATAATTGTCTTAACTAATTGTTTCCCACAAATGAATTCCACCACTATTTAAGTATTAATATCACTTAGTAATGCAGATACCAGATCCTCACAGTGATAGGGATGAAGATAGAAAGGAGTTGGGGCCCTATTCCAGGGTGGAGAGAGGGCAGGGAGACTGTGTCAAGGGCCCACCATCCCTCTTCCGTCACACAAAATTAAATCACTTAACTGTTGGTTAAGAAAGTTCTGGAGTTAAAATTAGA